CTCCATGCTGAGATTTGTTGAAACGGAGTGGGGGTGTGGCCTTCATCCAATATAGGTGGACTTTCTGGCAAAGCTCACTAGCTTTTGCTCACTCTGGATCCTGCAGCTGGCTCCTGTTCGTCTGGCCTCCGGATCTTGGGGCTTGAGCTAACAGCTTACCTGCCGATCTTGGGATTTATCGGCCTCCGCTGCCTGTGAACCAGCAGCCTGCCCTCTTACCTGCCGATCTTGGAATTTGTCAGCCTCTGCAGCCTGTGAGTCAGAGGCCTGTTATCCGACCTGCCAATCTTGGGTTCACCAGCCACTATAGCTACATGAGTCAAGAGAAGCCTCCAGCCTGACCCACGGACTTGGGAGTTTCCAGCCTCTACAACTATGAGAGCCATTTCCTTGATATAAATCTCTCTATACATATATTTATATGCTGTACTGGTTCTGCTTCTTAAAGAACCCAGCCTAAGACAGGAGGCAAGTATGAGTTCAAAACAAAACATGAAGCACAGAACTGAAATCAGTGATTATAAACAACTTTTGTGAGAAGTGTTCCTATAAAGAACAAAGAAATGAGGTTAAAAGCTAGAGAGATATATCTTTTTTTTCTACCTACCTACCAACCTACACTGGAAAAGAATTACAGTATGTGTCATGTTGATGGAAATGATCCAGTTGGGGAAAAACCGATTATGCGAGACAGAGGGTAGAATTGCTAGAGTTGTTTCCAGTTGCTAGAGTTGACTGTCCTTGAAGAGGTGAGAAGAGATGGAATCCAATGGAACAGTGAAGGGCTAATCTTCGTCAGGAGCACAAAAAATGCATCCACAGAATCAGGAGAAAAGGTAGCATATGTGGGAGAAGTTGCAGGTAGGTGAGTATATATGAAGGAAAGGCTTGCGAAACTTCTGTTACTATCGCTTCTCTTTTCTCAAAAAAAATAGGAAACAATGTTATCAATTGAGAGGGGGAGTGGTGAAGAAAGTTTGAGGAAAGAGAAGATATAAAATATTCGCCTAGGAGAATGGAAAGTAAATTTAAGATAGTGGTCATAAATTTAAAGTAAGACCATGCAGTACAGTCAATCACCTGAACAGGTGTGAGTCAGAGAACATGAAAAGTTGGATATAGTCAAGGTTGGAGTTTTGCCAGACATGAGTACAAAAACGTGAGAGAGAGAAAAAGGAGTCAAGAGTATATGCAAGGGACTGATTATAATGATAGCCCGGGAATTTAATCTGTGTTAGGAAGTGAGGGTATGAGAGAAATGAGAAAAAACAGTAACAAAAAGTTATTAGGATAAATAAATGGCGTGTTAAATCTCCATATGGAAGAACTTTAGAAGATGAAGTACTAGAGGAAGTGAGCTAAAAAAAACAACAGGTGGTAGTTGGAGAGTGGGATGCCTGATTTTCAGATTATGCAAAAATGTTAGTTACTGCTAATGCGGGCAAGAACAGAGCCACCACATGACAGGGTTCCAGGGAAAGCAATGGGTGCTGGAGAGAGCTAAGTTTCTTGGAGCAAAAAGGTGAAGGTTGAGGATATAGAGGTTTTACTGATGGGTAAACTCTCAACTCCAAATGTTACCAGTAGAAAGTTTCAGGAGCTGGGAAAAGTTGGGAAAGGGGGTCTTGGATTAGGATGTGCAGAAACATATGGGGAAGAGAGTCCAAGTGGAGGTGAGGCTGTGTGTTGAAGGACAGGAAAGAGTGGGAGTCTTAGGGCTCCTCCTGTCTCTAGAACACACAGAACTCCTTCCCTTCTATTTCTTTTTTTTCAAGTGTTTCAGTGCTGGATAAAACTTTTAAAATTCTTATCCTTTTTTTTTTTTCTTCAGTTAACTAGTCTATGGATTTGAGACTTAGTCTTAATTTACCTGCACAGTCTGGTGTTTAGAGAGTAAACTAATAACAGGATGGTGTCTTTAGGATATTGATTAACATCATAATAGTATACAGTTTAGCTTTATTTTACTAACATATTTTATGAAGCAATAATAATATTAACAAGATCAAAACCTCCCAAACATTTTAAGCCTCTAGTATCATCAAGTATCAAATAGTAACAATGGAGAGGTCATACTCATGCACTCTATCATAAAATTATACCGATATTTTAAAAATTGGGCATGAAAATCCAACTCCAATAATATAATAACTATTACAATAAGTCATACTACCCTTCTTAAAACAGTGTTCTTTCCACAATACAGCAATTCATGATATTGTTTAAGTATCATGTTTTTTCAGATAACTGTAAAGCTGAGCACAGAGCAAACCACAGAGGTGCCCCAAAGATGACTGTAATACGCATCACACATCCCAACACACTTTAAGAAAAGCTCACTCTACATTTCATTAGCAAAACCCCAGGATTTTAATATTCTATCACCAAGAATTCTAGTGACAAGTCAGGACTGTCTTTTATATTTTCCGAAAAGATAATTTACTCTCATTCTGCAATTCCTTTTAATAGCTCAGAGTTAAAAAACTAAACTCTACTTTTTTTGTTTATACATTGTTTTTTATAACTTAAAATATAAAATAACAATAAATTATATTTGAGATAATACTAGATTAAATAAAATCCATGGGGATGGTTAATATTACTAACTTCCTACTAACTATACTTTCTTTAAAAAAAAGGAAATCAAAATATAAACCACCCTGGCACAGATTGATAAACATACTCTACTAAAGCTTGCCATTCTTAATGTATGTTAGTAAAATATCGATTTTTCCTCCATAGAGCCATTTATGATACATCATAACACAAATTCTCTAGCCTATTATTGCCCACCTGAAGTAGTCCACAATGGCTAAGCAACAGCAAACAGCAAAATCATAATAATTACCCTAACATATCATTAAGGAGTTTCACCTAAAATATTTTAAAGACGATCTATCAAACACAACAGTCACAAACAGTGACTACGAAAATGGTATAAAATAAAATTATATTTAGCATTAGCTATCATATCATTCTTAATCCTCTCCAAATACAAACCCTGCTAACATTTCTATACTAGCTGGGGTGCTTTGTTTAATTTAGCTTGACTTCTTTTGTCATAGATTTCGCCTCTTAGTAAGTATTTCCTTTTCAACTTCAGATATAATGACCCACTTAAATTTGAGGAGCCTAAAGGAGTTACAAAGATTTTGGAAGGATTTTTTTTTTTTTTTTTCCCAGTAAGGAAGGGAAAGGTGAGAAAAGGCTATGTTTTTGTTTTTGTTGATTAGGTTTACTTCAAATTCCTTAGTTCATGGAGTACTCTATTTTACACTTCCTGGATATTAACTCCTGATTTATAAAATATAAATAGCAAATACTTCAGGCTGAAACATAATCCTATACCACAAACAGCTTGATATTAATTCTTTCTAATTCAGGCATGTTTATTACCTAATAGCACAATTATCCAAATACAACAAAGTTGTTACATATTTACTAGTTTAATGAAGTGTTATAAAGCTGACAGTATTGGTTATAGTTTATAATTCTGAAATTAAATGGACTTAAATATTAAAGCTGCTTTAACCAATTTACAAGAATGAAAGATGTCACAGATTGAATCGTGTCCCCCAAAAACGTATGTCAATTTGGCTAGGCCAGAATTCCCAATATTGTGTGAATGTTCACCATTTTGTCATCTGATGTGATTTTCCTATGTGTTGTACATCCTACCTCTGTGATGTTAATGACGTGGGATTAGCGGCAGTTATGTTAATCAGGCAGGACTCAATCTACAAGATTAGGTGGTATTTTGAGTCAATCTCTTTAGAGATGTAAAAGAGAGAAGCAAGCAGAGAGACATGGGGACCTCATATCACCAAGAAAGAAGTGCTGGGAACACACCTCGTCCTTTGGACCTGGGGTCCCCACGCTGAGAGGTTCCTTGACCAGGGGAAGACTGATGACAAGGACCTTCCCCCAGAGCTGATAGAGAGAGAGAGTCTTCCACTGGAGCTGGCACCCTGAATTCGGACTTCTAGCCTCCTAAACTGTGAGAAAATAAACTTCTGGTTGTTAAAGCCATCCACTTGTGGTACTTCTGTTTTAGCAGCACTAGATAACTAAGTCAAAAGATATGTATAACTCCAGTCTAAAAGTTTATCTGTACACAGTGCATATTGTCACTGACAATAATTCTCTAGAACAGATACAATCTGAAATTCTTTGACCTAAGAACAGAGCTATAAATATTATCAACACTTTTGTGTTGATGATTTAATTCACCCATTGTAATTTAAGAAAGTAGATATATTTCTTCCTATTTTTAAAATATTTCATACTTAAAGTAACCTATTTTTATAGCTACTCCTGAATTACAATTTTGAAATACAGTTAGCTATTCATATTCTGATCTTGGTTGGGGGATTTTTTTCAAACATTTTTTAAGTACTATGTAAGAGAAGAGTGCAGGGTGAGACATAAGTAAAAAAATTTTTTTATTTATCTATATAAAAAATGACTAGTAATTAAAAATTAAACGTTAAAATCTTTGACATACTTACTTGGTTACAGCACTCCCAAATAACGAAAGAGTTGCGAAGGAAAACTTAGTCAAATTTGGCACCTTAGTGATAAAGAAACTACTTTTTACCTTAAAGATTTTAAGAAGAGGGAAATGAAGTAGGGATATTACAGACAGTAAGACAACATATAAATCTGCAAAACCTAAGTTACTCAGAGTGATAATGCTTAAAATCTATCAAGACTCTGTAATAGAGGTATACCTACTCCCTTATTGGCCGATGTCTCGGAACTGAACTGGCCTTGCTAGATTGGAGCTAACTTCAGTTAGGGGGAAAGACTATGACTTTACCAGAATGCCTCTAGTCTTAGGCAAACCTTTCTTCCTCTGGGAAGTTCACATGTTACTGTTAAGTCTTGACCTCTTGCCACAGCACAAGACACTGAAAGATTTATTATTGTTCCTTTCAATTATTTGTTTTTTTGAATTAAATAATTTTTAATTATTATCTAAATATATAATACCCACATACCATTTAGTCGTCTCTGGAGTGCCTCTTCCTCTAGGGTAATAATATAAATTTGTTCGTCCAAGTCTTCAAGAATCTAAATTTAAAAATAAAACTATTCAATAATACAACATTACAAAACTAGTGCCTATGAGAATGTTTAGATTATTTGGTCTATTATTTAGATAATGTGGTCATTCAAATCACTAAGAACCCAAAATAAAAATGCTCAAACTATTCTATTCACAAATTAAGAAAATTATTTTAATATATAGTTAAACACATCAGAAGTTAATTATCATAAAAAACTACATCATTTAAATTGGATATTTTTAAAGTTTTAAGGATAAACTAAAAAGCACTGCAGCTTTTTCAACAGAAACCAAACGTATGAATTTCAAATAACCAAAAAGTTAAATACAGTAATACTTTTTTGTGCATGTGCCAACATTTTAGAGCTAGAAGGAAAAGATAATCCACTCCAACATTTATTTTCTTATTTATATTTACCTACATAATGTCTAAAACAAGCAATCTACACACTAAATCACTGCCATGAAATACTTTCCATTTACATCTCTTTACTAAAAATATTCAAATATTAAAATTGGTAATGTCAAAATTATCCTATAAACAGAAGCCCTAGAGAAACGATATGCTTAAATATAAACCATTCACCATCAAGCCATACAACTCTAGTTCAAAACAAGAAAGACACTAATCAATTATCAATGTATATTATCTTATACTGTCTTCAAAATTAATAAAATCTTAAATTTGTTTAATTCTAGCTTTGTTAACATAATTGTCCATCTATGAAAATATCCTAACTACTTTCCTTGCTGTGGGAAATATTTAAAAGAATCCCAGAGCTGACATCAACGTTTTATATCAGTCAAACCCAAATTACTTATTCCCTGCAAAAAAAAAAAGGCTAAGAGTTAGCAGACAAAATAAAAGGATGGAAACCCTGTATATGGTATCCTTTTAGCTCCCAGACAAGGTATTTTCGATTATCAAATCATACAATCCCTATCAGGAATCAAATTTATATAAAATTTATTAAAAGAAATTCAATAATTCTCAATCTTTTGACAAATATTTTTGGTCTCTTATGGTCTATCACTAAACTAATCACTGGGTATAGATATGATCCCTACCTTTATGAACCCTAAAATCTGGAGAGACAAATGTAGATAAAGCATAAATAATAAACATACAAATAATTACAAAGACTGATTATCCTATGATGATACAGTTACTGGGTGGGAAGAAAGGGGAAGAAGGGACCCACTTAAATAGGCTAGCCACTGAAGGCCTCTCTAAGGAGATAACTTTTCAACTGATAAGAGCCAGTCATGTGTTAGAATGTGTGAAGGTTCTAAGGTGGGAAAGCACTTGCTACTGACTGTAACTCAAGATGAAGGTGGAGAGATAGACAGTGAACATATCTTTGTGGGATATGATGAGAAGTTTTGTTTTGTTTTTTCCATCAATGCTTCTCATCACATTCATTATTTGGATCAGAACTGACAATTTTACGTTTCTTAAAGTCTGTTGTTGTTTGTTGTTAGGTGCCGTCAACTTGATTCTGGCTCATAGAGACCCCATGTGATAGAACAGAAATGTCCCATAGGGTTTTCTAGGATGCAATCTTTACAGGAGCAGATGACCAGAACTTTCTCCCATGGAGCCTCTGGGAGGGTTTGAACTGCCAACCTTTCAGTTAGCAGCCAAGCACTTGCGCCACCAGGGCTCCCTTCTAAAACTCTAACATGTACGAAATGATTTTCTCTTGCTGTATAAATTGTCCAATAAATACTTTTCATGATAGGTATGTTTAATGTGTGACTAAGCATCAATATGAGTGGCATATAGCTATTCTTCAGTGTGTGGAGGCACTCAGTGCGTGCCAGGCAGTGTTAAGTGCGTACGTGCGTCATCCTCCTTGATTTCTACAACCACCCAAAGAGGACGAGATGGTTAGTGTCCCCATTTTATTTGCTAAGAAACAAGGTTTAGCAAAGAAAATTACTCGCCTTTCAAAGCCTACGCTCTTAACCACTAAGGGCTAATGGGGACTTAAATACAGATAAGACATAGTCCTTGACATCAAACAGCTCACAGTCAAGTGCAGCAGGAGAGACAGATGAATTCAAAAAATAATTATAGAATTAAAATAAATGCAAAACTGAGGCCTAAATAAAATGGTACAAAAGTTCAGAGGAAGAAAAATTATTTCTGGTTGAAGAGAAAAAAACTTTGATTAAGTTTCCTTGATGGTAGTAGCATCCGACCTGATTCTTAAAATAGATAGCTTAATTTACAGAAAAGAGTTAAGAACATTTCAATCGAGGAGCTATTTTCAGATTATTAAATATTTGATAAAATAGCTAGAAGCCAAAGAAACTCAGAGTCAAATCATTAGAACTACCAATTAAAGATCATTTTAAAATAAATATATAGAATTTTTGAGCTTACAAGCAAAGTATAATTTAATCAATCGAGATCTGATACGCAGGAAAGTTCTCAGAAACAGAGTTACTATTTGCTATAAGGCACAAATACCTAAAATACTGTAAGTATGTATAAATTTTGTCTTAAAATTTGCTAGAAGAATTTTTACCTGAGTGCCTACAGTTAATATTTTTAAAGAAATAATAAATTTGATTTCTAAGTATGAAAGTGATTAAAATAAAAACAACAGCAACAACGATTTGGGTCATCAGCCCACAAAAATATTCTTGTTATGCCTCCAAATACTAGCCCACAATTTAAAAGATACTAAAATGCAACCTCATGTATTTAATAAACAAAATGATTTATACTGAAGTACTTACTGTTGGCTTCACTAACAACTGACCCATTACTGTAAACATGCGGGAAAGACCAACTGGCGTACATACTGCAGAAAAAAGAAGATGACCCACAGAGAAAACATTAAATTTCAGACTTAGGAAAGATAAACTACTAGTCATTAGAATGAAACAAACTCAAAGATTATTCTTTTAAGAAAATTCTTATCCCAAATTTAGATTTTCTCAGTGCTTTGTCATAGCGTTCTTCAACTTCACCAATAAAGAAGCTAGGTGGGATAGTTTGAAGAAGATGGGTATTGCTACGTTTAGTAAAAGGTAAATGAAGACTAAAGAAGGCTTAGAATATTCACGGTTCTAGTAGTGCAATAATAATAAAGATTAGATTAAAAGAACTTAAAGAAAACCAAGTAAAGAACAGATAAAACTTCAAGCAGTTATTTAACTGAGAATCAGACAAACCAAATACCAAACCCGTTGCTGCTGAGTGGATCCTGACTCACAGCTACCCTATTGGACAGAGTAGAACTGCCCCATAGGGTTTCCAAGGAGTGGCTGGTGGATTTGAACTGCTGACGTTTTGGTTAGCAGCCTGAGCTCTTAACCACTTCTCTAAAAGATACAACTATAATTTTAAGTCCCTTTTATCTACCTTTATCTACTTATAATATCTCTGAGATGTATGATGATGCTTCAAGTAAAACAAAATATATTTTGAACTAAAATCCATAAACTGGTCACAAAGACTTCTACCATAAGCACACAAAAGCAGAATCTAGCACTGTGATGGGTGAGTGTGAGCTATATGTGTGTCTCTCTCCAGCGCCATGGAAGAGCCTTTCCTTAGAGAACACCAAAAGTATCTTAATATCCCAAGGTTTCGGTGTATCAAAATTTATCTTGAACAATAAAAAATGTTAAGGGCCAACTTCAAAGAATCTTCAAGCTGTTAAATAACCTCCTCAGGAAACCTGTCCATAATTTTCTAGAATACAGGACAACTCTACTTTCCTATCAATATTAAGTCAGAAAAAATACTTACAGAGAAGTAACAAACATCCCATCAATGATATACAGGAATATAAATAGGGTAGGTAAAACTCCCAGAGATCTGTAAAAAAAATTAAATATACTTTAATAAATTAAATAAATAATTTAATAAATAAAATTAAATATACTTTAATAAATTAAATAAATAATTTAATAAATAAAATTAAATATACTTTAATAAATTCAAAATACTATATATTAAGATATAGACTGACTATACATTAAGCTATAGACTGACTATACATTAAGATATAGACTGACTATACATTAAGATATAGTCAGTCTATATCTTAATGTATAGTAAGCAGCATAATTGCCAATTTGAGTCTGACAAACCATATAATTTGAATTTACTGATTTATTGTTAAATTGCACATAGAAAGATCTAAAATGGAAGAACAGGAAATAACCCTTCTGCAAAACCTGTTTGGAGAAAGGGGAAAAAAAGCCTCCATGGAATTTTAAGAACAGAAACCAATCAACAACAACTAACAGAAAGGAAAAGCTGCTTGCTTATTCTGCAGGTGAATATTCATTTCTTTCCACAAACATGTCAAAACCCGTTGCCATCCAGTCGAGCCGACTCGTAGCAACTCTAAAGCACAGAGCAGAACTGCCACATAGTTTCCAAGGAGCGCCTGGTGGATTCAAACTGTCGACCTTTTGGTTAGCAGCTGTCGCTCTTAACACTGCCACCAGGGTTTCCAAACATGCCTAAGGAGTTCTTAATTCTATAAATTAACATCAAAAGTTAACTACACAATTACTAAATGTTTCAAAAAGTGAATGTGTAACTATACCCCAAACTCTAGTTTCTGTTAGAGAAGCCAGTTTAAACGAGGAAGTCCCGTACCGTATAAAGACTCCATACTTGCAGCATCATTGTCAATGAGTGCAGAAGCTACCCAGACTATTCCAAGAATAAGCAGTGCAAGAAGAATAAGCATGACCAGAGTTTCTAAAATCCGAGCTCGGAGTCCCTGAAAAATATAATTGAAAATTTTAATATTTTATTTCATTTTAAGAATAATTAGGTTTCTGTCTATATGAAGCACAAAATAATTCTTTGGAAAGGAAATTTATGTGTACTAACAAAAAATATACACTAAATGCTTACAGTTTATAATGTTTAGACTGACTTTTGAAATTATGGAAAACAGTATTAAGGTTGGAATATAATTTTTTTAACTTATTTGTAAGAACAATTTTTGTAGAGCCGTTTTAAATGGTTGCTTTCTTAATACTTTCCACCAAGAAAGTAGATAAAGGAATATTTATCTGTGATTCCAATTAAGGGAAGACAAGGTTAATTATGGCATACAGCCAAACAGTTTACTGAACATTAAACCTGGTAAAAGAACAATGCACCAATTTACTTGAGAACACAATTTCCTATTACAAGAATTCAATACAGCTCTTCACAGCCTACAGAGCCCTCACGTGTACAGCTGAAGAACTGCTCTTTTTAATCCCAACACTATAAATTTAGGAATATTATTTATATGAATTTATAGCATTCCTTTCTTCACATTAGATATCATGAAGCTAGAATATAATAAACAATCATTATGTACAATTTTGTTTTAAATGTAAAATTCTGACCTCATAGCCAATCCAGGGATCGGGCTTTTATTCTTAAAAACTACTGGTCGAGGCAAAAAAAGAAACTCTCCTGTACTCCTGAAAAGTCACCAAATAATCATCAGTACTAAATTTAAATAATCAGCTATCATATTGATATTTTATACTGTAATACACTAATCTATAACATCTAACATAATAAACAATAAAATTATAAGTATATCATGTCTAATAAATCACTGTAATCTTTCTTTCCACATTAAAAATTGTTTAAAGGTATGAGTTATAAATACCCAAAACACTTATTTCAATTTTGTCACTAACCATTATTGAAAAAAAAACTTTTTCTAATTTCTGAATTAAAGAAATAGGTTGCACTTCAATCAAAGCACCTCATTTCCTCAAATTCAACAGAGAGGAAAAGAAATGTCCTAAAATCATGGATAAGTACTCCCAGCCCTAGCTGATAACCTAAGAACTAAAGTAGCCTTTTCTTACTAGTTCCTTAACATTTATCAGTCTTACCACAGGGCTGCCCTTGGGAGGTTTAAAATACTTCTTCAAATATAGGAGTTATGTCACCTTAAATATTCACAGCAAGGGAGGCTAGTGAACCAGAATGAATTAGGCTTGCGTTTTATTGAATACATTAGACCTAACAGTAGCTATCATTCAAGTGAGATGAAATAGGAAAAGTCACAAAATATACTACCACAAAACAGACTACTACTTTACTGAAAGGCCTTCTGAACCTCTATTTCACAGCTTTCAAACTATTAGGATAACAAACATGATGACCATCACCTTTTAACAATGATTTCTTCACTCCTTACTTCCTTTCTTCTTTTCTCTCTCCCTCCCTCCCTTCTCTCCTTTTCCTTCCTTCCTCCTGCCTTTCCTCCTTCCATCTCTCTAAGCATTAGTGGTTTGTTTTTTTTTTTTTTTAACAAATTAAATATTATATGGAAAGCTTACACATAAAACAAGGTAAAAAGAACAGGTGCTCACGTGTGTATGTGTTATATCCCCTCAGCTTTTTCTTTCCTTGCTTCTGGCAAATCCTCCCTGCTTCCAACCAGCCCACAAGGAACATATGAGCTAAACAGTAGGGCTCCCAAAACACATAATGTATGTATTTTATGTGTTAGCATATATGAGCTAATAGTAGGGCTCCTTGGACCCATATGAAATCCACTGTCAAAAACACATGAGTATTATCAGTTTTTAAATAATATGTGTTACAATATAATGACTATATTAAATAATTATAATAATGTAACAATAAATTTAAGCACTATAATGACAATAAATGTTGGGGAATCAATCAACATAGGACTTACACACTTCCTCTGATATTTTGGTTAAGATTTAACAAAATTTAAACAAATTAAATTTTTCTCCAAATATGCTGCTTCTGTGTGTTGGGTCAAGAAGCCCTGGTGGCACAATGGTTAAGCGCTCAGCTGCTAACTGCAATGTCAGTGGTTTGAACCCACTTAGCTGTGACACGGGAGACAGAGGTGGTAGTCTGCGTCTGTAAACATTACAGCCTTGGAAACTCTATGGGGCAGTTCTACTCTGTCCTATCATGTCGCTATGAGTCGGAATCAACTCGATGGCAGTGGGGTTTTTTGTTTGTTTTGTTCATGATAAAGATAATGTCGCCCTCCAGAGCAAAGGTCAGGCAGATTTGCTTGTAGTCCATTATAAATTATTTGGTTATCATAAACTCAAGTTCCTCCCCTGTGACACAAGCTCACTGTGAGCACAGCAGCCACTTGGGCGACCCTGCAGTGCCCCACAGGGCTTGAGAGGCAAGGAGAATGGACATGAACAGGAAATTCATGTACTTGCTGTGCTGTGAGTAATAAAGTCCTTTGTTTCTGACCCAGGAATCTCATGTCTACAGCCAGAATCCATGAAACTGTGGCAGGCTAACCTGTTAGCTTGCAAACAGAATAAAATCTCCGACCTCACAGTTCTTTACAATTTTTGGTGACAATGATGGAATGCTACAGAGACATGACTTTCTGTAAGATCCAAAGGCTCACACAGGTTGGGTTAAGGGATATGAGAAGATTTCCCAGGATCCAGTAGTGAATGCTCTCACCCATGTGGTGGGCAAGAGGGGAGGGGAAAGGTCCCCAACTGTCCTACCTGTCAACATATGTTTAGAGGCTGAGCTGCACAAGGGAGGGTGAAAAAAATCACCAGAATGATAGTTTGTTTGTAGCTTACACTACTCGAAGAGGAAGCAAAAAGGGATGTTATCATGACAATATAACAGCAAGTTTATTTTAGCTGTAGCACCAGCTAAAAGGTACTGTGGCTATAGCTGCTGAATCAAGGATTCCTCAAAGCTGAATAAATGACGTCAGGAATAAGAATACAGAGCTTTGTGTGAATAGAAGACATCAGAAGCTTGTCTGGTTGAGCCACAAGCAGTCACTAGGCTGCCAGCAATGGAAAGTGCCCTGCCTACTGGTGTGAGCCACTCTCTCTGTGCTCCCTGGTCCCTCCCTCCCCCTACTCTAACCTCAGATGCTTTGAGTGGGGGGAGATGATTGGGGTAAAGCAGATGTCCTCCAGTCCTTAGAGAGGATGAAAGCCACACAAAACCATCTGAGTATGCTGGGGAACTTTGTAAAGTTGAGAGACTCAAACTTTTATGGCTCTATTGGGTACAGGAGCCCAAGTGACCATCCTACCTAGTCCTTCACAAAAGACTGTAAGGGATTACATATAAGAATTGTTGGTGAACAATGAAAAATTTTTAAAAACTGAGACAAATTTTAATAGTTACATATATAACCATAAGAAGGAGCTCTGGTGGTGTGGTGGTTAAGCACTTGGCTGCCAACCAAAAAGTCAGCAATTCGAACCCACCAGCTACTCCTTGGGAGAAACAGGTGCATTCTGCTTCCATAAAGAATACTGCCTTGGAAACCCTATGGGGCAGTTCTACTCTGTCCTATAGGGCTGCTATGAGTTGGAACTGACTCAATGGCAATGGGTTTGGTTTGGTTTTTGGATATAACCATAACAAACTAAAATGCGATGTAAAAATATTTTTGAAAGAGAGGCCATTTAATGATAATAATTCCAAATTATCTTAAGAAGAACTAGATATTTAGACAGGAGAAAATAAAGAGTTAAGGAAAAAAATTTACTTTAAATGGGGTCATTTAAAATTATAATGTTTCCTTTTTTACTCTAATAGAGAAAGTTAAATAATGCTATTAAAAACTTAAGGTTATCAGTAATAGAATCAAAAGTTATATTATCTTCTAAAATACCAGAGAATATAAAGGAAATAGCCAATATAGTAAAAAAAGAAAACTAATACAGTAAAATATCGACAAACATTATAAAATACATAGAAATATAGAAACAGAAGAAAATAAAGTGAAATATATCCACTATACCCAGTGTAAGGAGTGCAGGTTAGGAGGGTAGGCTGGGGAGGGCAATTCCAAGGGCAACAGAAAGGCATTTTACTCCCTTGGTCCCTTACTCCAAGGTGGATGCATAAGCACGGGAGCTCCTTCCTCCCTCATGTGTCATCTGGTGTCCAACAAATGATCTGGCCCATTGATTTGTTCCTTCTGGGCTTGCACACACTGCCCTGCATATACTGCCATACTCTGCCCTGCAGTTCTGGGTGCCTTCAGCCACTCCTGAGCCTACAGCTTCATCCTCCTCACAAGCCAAGTGGGGCTTCAGTAGGGGGCAAAAACACATGCTGTAGGTTTTGTGCAATTATGCAATACCTTGCACTCACTTTTGCTTTTGAGGGTCACCCATTCTGGCCTCACGAAATGAATTCAAAGCTCTACATTGAATGGCAAAGTTCTCAATGCTGACACCACTTATTTCAGCTTTGGAAACATCTTGACTCAGCAGCCACAGCCACAAGGCCTTCTGACTGGGTTGCGTGGCTTCCAGCCTCATTGTCAAGCTAACATCCCTACCTCCTCCCACAAGAAGGGAATGAGCAGCAACCAAAGCACCATTCAGCCTCATTAAGCAGGTAGGGCCGTGGGGGACCCTTAACTCCCCTCCCTCCTCCACCACTTGAGTAAGAGCACTCACTACCAGATCTGAAGAGTCTTTTCAAATCACCAAGCCTGGCCTGCGGGGCCCTTCTCCTTCCTCTTCCAGAAAGCCATCTCTGTCAGCACCTCATCTCACTGTCAAAACTGTCAGGTGTAGGGTTTGATTTTACTCTCCTTATAAGCATATAAGTTAGCCTGTTGCTGTTGCATGGATTCTGGCAGAAGACACAAGACTCCTGGGTCAGAAACAAAGACCTTTATTACTCATGGCACAGCAAGCAGCATGAGCATCAGCATGTCAATTCTCCTTGCTCCCAAGTCCTATGGGGTGATACCATGGACAC